TCTATTTCATGACCTTTGATGGTGTGAAGTGCAAGTGAATTATCTTATTTACCTAATTCTTTCCTTTCTCTGTCTCTCAGGTTCAGATTGCTTTGTGTAAATTCTAAAAATTCACCTGCATTGTTTTTTTTTTTTGTTTTTTTTATATTTGTTAGTTTCCCCAATAAAGTCTTTTTCAGGTTCTCCCAGCTGCTCAGATATGGCTGAATAAGCATAAACTATTAAATGCTTTTCTCACCTTGTTCTAACTTCATGAGTGGGTGTATATCTGTGTATATGTCTGCCTATCTTGGTCTGCACCTAACCTTCTAGTTTGCTGATTTTTGTCTGTATCAAGCTATCTACTTTGCAAAAATTAGTTTTTCCCTAGCTGTCTACTTTTTTGATCTCAATCCATCCCAAGTCGAACTCTGCCCGTCCCGAGCCATCTGCTCTTTCGAACAGAAAATTTGTGATGAAAATGCCTTGGTTATCAAACAAAATTTTGGTTCTCAAAACAAGTTAACCCGAATGGAATAATTTCTAAGTCAAGCACCATGTTGTATACATTTGTGTGTTGTGTTGTGCTTTTCTTTTCCAATTTTATTGTACTGTGACTTTTTTCTCTGCATTGATTCCTATTGGAAAAATAGTTTCGGTTTACTTACAGCCTTCAGGAACAAATTAAATTCATGAACCAAGGTTTCACTGTATTTTAACTGAGATTGTAAAAATGCTGATATAATTGATTCACACTCATGCAGACACTCAAATTTCTTGCAAAATTTACTGCCTATCCACAGGTCCATACAAATTTTTTTTAACCCTCAATTGTTTTGTGATGTTTATCAATTTCAGTTGCATTCAAAAAACTCACCCTGCCAAAATCTTATCTCTCATTATTATTTTATAACTATGACCCTGTATGGTACTATTTGTTTTTACATTTCATTTTTTTTAAGAATGTATCCAGAATACTCTGAGATGTTATTTTATTATTGTAAAAATCCTTGGCCTCAAAATCTACTCTGAACTGCTACAAACATTGCTTTTCAATGTCATCATTGAGTGGAGGATATTTTTTTTTCTTTGTTTTTTTCTTTGTTTTTTTTTTTGTTTTTTCTTGTTATGTTATTTAACTGGCTGTCATAATAATGAATCAAGCATTGTGACATGAAGAATAAACATGTCAGTAATACCATTGAAATGGTATGCAGGAAATGAAGGCAAAACAGGGTTGATACTATTTTTAAGTTTGAAAACAGTAGCTGATCTTTTGATATAATTTCTTCTATTTGTCAGCATGCAAGATAAAAGCATATATAAATGGACAATTAGTATTTTAATTAAGATATTAATTAATTTCATTAATCTGAATTTTATGTCCCAGTCTTTGATTTATAACTTGAGATTTTTTTTTAAAAATTTAATCTTTAAATTTAATCTTTATTTTTAATAGTAAATGTATAATAGGTTGACAACATAAACCAAATAAAATTTTCTTGGTTAGATGGGTACTGTAGACTGTTCTATTTATAATATTTAAAGTTAAGTCCTTTTTTTCTGCAGGATAGCACTCTCTCAATCTCCATAAAAATATTACCTTCTTCCATGATAGATGGAACAAAACCTTCATCAGTGCATTTCTCATGTTTTGTATCCCAAGTTTAATTCCAATGAATTTTTTTACTTTATTGGTCAGTATTTTGGGGTTTTTAATTTTATATCCTCCATATCTATGAAGTGATTTTCCTTTGGGTTGGAATATTGCTAACCTTAGTGTGGAGAATTACCTCATAGGTCCAAGAGGGCGAGAGTAGCGTAGCCTATATGCGAGCAAATTGCTAGCGATACAGACTCTCCAAGCACCGATGCTGGAATGACAAGGCGCATGTATCAGTCAGATCGAGGCTGGCAGTGTGCCCAATATGCAAATTCTCTGGCTCGGCAAGAACGTATAAAAAGGCAAGTTCTTGTTGAGTTGGCAGAACGATTTTTGTGCATTAATCATAATTCACAGTGTTGCGTACTAAACCAGAATTCGTTGTGAGGATGTTTCTAGTGTCTGTGCTACTGAATAACATCTTTTCTGCTACACTTAGCAATCATTTATTGTCATAAATTTAGTGCTACCTTCGCTACGAACAGTAAAGACGGTTTCTCTACTTAATTCCTCTTTTAATATTTATCTCTGTTATGTCAGAAATAATACGTAGAATAGACGTAAGTGAGTGGAGCGGCGATGTTGTCCGGGGGAGTCTTAAGGCACAAACGCCTCATTCTCTTCCATTTTAGTAGCCTTCCATTTGGATTGGCAGAAGAGATGAGGGCAAAGGTATGTTATAAAAATCCCTTCACCTCATACTTGAGATTCTTTTTGGCCAACAGCGAAACGAGTTATTATTATTGTTCCTGTCTGTTATTACTGTGGTTATCTGACCCTAGTTGCTGTTATATTCCATGCTAAGGTAATAAATACTTAACACCAGGTGGATAATAGAAGAAAGGTTTATTGTACACAACCATTACAATATGAAATACGGTACAGTTATACACACAGGTCAATCTAGTAGTGAGTGCCACGAATTGAAAGAGCAGATGTGTTTGTATCTTCTCGCTCTCACTCTATCCTCAAGTCTCTCATAGGTAGTTGACTTTATAGGTACTTACTACCTATAGTGTAATCATTCATGGTGGTGACTGGTTATCCCATTACATCAGTTGCAAAGGAAGAGCGTTTTCTTTTGCAAACAGGTCATTCACTAACTCCATGCTGGTCTTTTCAGTCAAATTCATTTAAGACGGTTAAGGATTCTTTTTTGCTGGTTCAGCTCACTTTTCATTTTTTATTTTATTTATTTATTTATTTTTTTTTTTATAGAGTTACTTATTAATTCCATTACAGATTTGTCAGTCTTGAACATTTTGAGGCATTCAAGTATCCAATTATGGGCTTGACCATATTGTATATCTTTGTGTAATCAATTCATCCTGTTCTAAAGTTTTTCCTTCTTGATTTTACTTCTTTCAGGATTGTCATTTGACCCTCTGGTTCCTTGCCTACTGGTTTATAATATTTAATGTCACAGATTATTACATTGTTGATTTCTATGACAGTGTCTGCTTTCTGCTGGTGCAAACTGTTTTCCAATAATATACATGTACCTTAATTATGAACTTATTTTTGTCTTTTTTCCAGGTGTATTTTTATCTGGCGCCTGTCTCCACATGTGACAAAACAAATGCAAATGAGAATGGAAGAGAAAGGAAATCTACCAAAGGAGAGTTTGAATTTGAGTTCAATTCCTATCCAAAGGTAAATTCTTCTTTCTGTCTCAGTGATAAGAGTTTCTGTTCATTCCCAGCCCCACTGACTCTGATGTCAAGTGAAAATGAAAAACAAAAAGCTAAAAAAAAGAAAAATAGAAATGAAATTAAAAACAAAGATTAGAAAAATAAACTCAGTTTTAGAATTATAATATAATCAATAGTCAGAGGATACTATCACTGATCGCAGAAAAGTGTCGTCTGATATAATAATGAACAACATGACTTTTTCTGTCTATATTTATGAGATGAGGTATTATATACACTATTTACATTATTTGGACTATTGTCCTCATCTTTGTCGCCATATTTATTACAACGTTTCAGCCTTTCAGTATCTGTCTATATTTCTGAGATGAGGTATTATGTACACTATTTACATTATTCGGACTATTGTCCTCATCTTTGTTGCCATATTTATTACAATGTTTCAACTGTTGTACACTCCGGCCTTCTTCAGTTGGCTGGAATGTCGAACTGAACCCTTTATTTCGCTCACTGGGGTAGAATGTTCTAGTTCCACATGCCATGTTTAATGGATGTCACTTATCAGTTATCTTCTGTTAATTTCCCTCTGAATGTTCTCCACTGGGTATTGAACTCACACTGTTTGGGTCCTGTCGCTAGATCTAACTAATGCCTTTATGTGTTCTCAAGGACACATGGCACAGTGGATTGACATTCCAACCACCTCAAAAAGGCCAGAGTATACAACAGCCAAAATGTAATAAATATGGCGACAAAGATGAGGACAATAGTCTGAATAATGTAAATAATGACTTTTTTTTGTTTTATTTGTGCTTACGGTCATATCCCGTTGAAACACCAGTTCCTGTATGATCACTGAAGTTAAGCAATGTCAGACCTGGTCAGTAATTAGATGGGTAACCGCTTGGGAATATCAGGTGTTGTAAGATTGTATGTGCAGGTAGTTTAATGGATAATGTCTCGGAATTGTTAATTGTAGGGCTGAGCTCCAATTCCTGTTGGGTTTGTTATTTACATGTAAATGCCCTTGGGAAAGGTATGACTCCATCTCTTCTACCCCCAGCTATGGATTAATTAGTAAGATTAGTAAGTATCATTAAGTAATTCATAGAGGTTGATTTGCCATTAAACAAGAACCAATCGTTTCATTGTTTCTCTGTAACTTCTTCCACATAAAAACAAGCAAATATATAAAATATATAAAATTAACTTTTAGAGTTTTTAATCCTTGTCAGATATAATAATGGAGTGTGTGACACCTTCTGCATACTGTAGGACAAAAGTTTTGGGTCATTTGCTGGAATTTGAAAAAATGCTGAAAAATTGAAAGTTGCTTGCTTTTTTCAAAACTAATTTCTGAAGGAAATAAACATAAAGCTATGTTTGGAAATTCTTCCACACACAGCATATTCTCCAGACCTCTCAATGGAGCTAGTATGGGAAATTTTACATTCATTGTATACTCCAAACTTGTTAATGGACTTCAGGTTGGAAATTCTTTCACACAGTGTATTCTCCAGGCCGCTCACATTTTATTCCATGTAACACTCCTTGTCTGGTTAACAGTTCTATGATGTTCTAGTTAGTGAAAATCTTTGAAAATTACTCAAAACTAGAATTTTTTTTTTTTTTTGTAAAATACACAATTTAACTGGAATGTAATGTAAGGTCATTGAAAGCCTTGAAAAAGAGCTTGAATAATGATTGTATTCATTAAAATTTGTGGTTCTTAACCTTTTTCTGTTCATGGCCCCCCTTTTGATCAGTGATTTTTTACATTTTTTTTTTTATTGCCCCCTTCCTGGCTGTTTAATTTAACAAAAACTCATTTTATAATTTCTGGATCAAATAGTGATATTTCTCTATATAGACATAATGACTACTTGCCAAACCAGTTAAATGAAATAAAGTTTTATTTTGTAACAAAAAAAAAGTATTAAAAGTATTAAATGCACACAGAAATTCATAAGTTCTGCAAAATAAAAAAAAAAGAAAGAATAATTCAAAATAAAAAAAAGTTTTGCCCATAAATTTTAGATAAAAGCACAATAGTAACATAAAAGATACTTGAAAATTATTTTATTACATAATTTAAGTTTATTAGAAGTAAAATATAAAGGGCAACAAGAGGTTGCAGCACTGGCACTTTCATCAAAATTGTGCCCCCCAACATTTTTCTGTGTGCACCCCCCACACACACACACACCAAAAAAAAAAAAAAAATAAAAATTTACCAGAAATAATAAAAAAAAACTTTCCCATCAACCTCACAAAATCTTGTAATCATCTTATGGTCTTAAAAAATATTGTCATAAATTTTTGTACAATCTAGTCTTTTGGTGTTTTTGAAAGAGAGCACAGTGAACTAGTCAACTTAAATTTCTTAGTTATCTTCAGAATTTAAAAATTAAATCTTAAGTTTCTTTTAATATTTGCTTTTCTGTTCTTCTGTGATTATTATTATTATTAGACCAAGGAAGTTTACTGATTTTTAGCTTACAACTTTTTGCTCCATACCCATATTTCAATTGCAGCTAAATGTCTAAAATGTAAATATGTAGGCAAAAAGATAAACAAATGTGTATATGAAATGTTGTGACTACTTCCAATCAGGCTTCAAAGAGTTAAGTAATCTTATTACTCTGTTAAAATGATAGCATTGCCTGATAATTCCTTTGAACATTTGCCGCTTCCTTGAGAGTTCATAGCACCCCTAAGTGACATTACTGCTTATGTTGTGAATGACTGGTTGAGATTATATCAAACAGATAAAGTGATTATTTTTTACATTTTTTGATCAAGAAACTTGATCAAGAAACTTGATCAAAAAAGAATTCTGTTCATATATTCTTGTAATATTTTTTTTTTTTAATTTTCTGATGTGACGTATCCCCTCAAGACATGGGCCATTATGTCTCTTCACAACTTCCTACCCTTTATTGCTTTGTTTGTCTCCCCTTGCTGTTTCCTCTCTTCTCACTCCCACTATGTCCTGTGAGTGTCAAATTCTCCAAACCCTCTTCATTGTGTCTCAGAAATTTAACCCTTTAGCATTGAGCATGCTCCAACCTGCCTTATAAATATTGGCTCTCAAAGTTTCATTATTTTTATAACTTCTTGAGTTATTTGCAGTGATGTTGTCATATATAATGGCAGAATATGCATGGGATAGGTTACATCAGGTTGAACATTAAGAACTGATATTTATTATTTGAATGCTAAAGGGTTAAACTCTTCTTATTTTATTTTAAGTATGAGTGTCTTTTGTTTCCCTTTTCCTTAAAACATCCTTGTCACTTACATATTCTGTCCATAGTATTCTCATCATCCTTCTGTAGAGTCATATCTGTTGCCTCAAGTTTTCCTCTCATCTGTGAGGAAATTGGGCAGCATTCACTGCCATATAGGAAGATTCAAATTACATAGTAGTTCTTTGCTTTGTACCTAATGAAATGTTCCTGTTTCTTAATACTTTGTTTAGCTTTGGGAAGGCATTTTTCTTTATTCTGATGTAAAAAATGAGATATTACTCAGCAGTAAAGCACTTTTTTTTTTTTTTTTTTAAGCATTTCACCCCAAGCAAGGCGGGAAGACACTAGGACACAAGGGGTTACAGAAAGTTTAGAGCAAGATCAGATAGAAGTGATAGAAGAAAGGATGAGGGTAGTGGATAGATCAAGGCAATTGGAGATATCGATTGACATTACACTTGAATAACTGGAGATTATAGCTCACAGGGAAACAGGAATAGGGAAGGGAGTTCCACAGGCGAGAGGTGCGAGACATGAAGCTATTAGAGTAGAAGAGACGGCTACATTTAGGAGTTTCGACAGTGAAGGGGTGAGAGCAGGATGCCAGCCTCGTAAGGCGCTGGAACTCATGATGTCTGGGAACCAGTGAATGCAGCTCCTCGGAGCAATTTCCATGAAAGTATTTGTAGAACAGACAGGTTTCTTAATACTTTGTTTAGCTTTTGGAAAGCATTTTTCTTTATTCTGATGTAAGAAATGAGATATCACTCAGCAGTTCAGCACTCTTTTCTTTTGTTTCTAATGAAATTTTCCTGTTTCTTAATATTTTGTTCAGCTTTGGGAAGGCATCTTTCTTCATTCTGATGTAAGAAATGAGATATCACTCAGCAGTTCAGCACTCTTTTGTTTCTAGTGAAATTTTCCTGTTTCTTAATACTTTGTTTAGCTTTTGGGAAGCATCTTTTGCTATCCCAATACACTCTTGGATTTCAGTGTCACTTTTTTTATCTGCTATACCATTTCCCAGATAAGTAAATTTCTGTCTTTGCTTGATTTTGATCTCATTTCAATTCATAACTTGTATCGTGAGTTGTCCCTCTTACTAATGACTACACATTCAGCTTTCTTATAAGTGATGGGTGGTCTTTGATTCTTGCTTTCCTTTTTTTTACATTGGCTATGAATTTTTTGCAGTTTTCTTTCTGTCTCTTATCAGCATGATGTCATCTATGTATCTTATGTTGTTAAGAAGGTGCCCACCAACAATAAAAACTGGTAGGATTTCTAGTTCTCTTAAGATTGCCTTATTGTATAAGTTGAATAAATCTGATAAGAAGACACCAGCTTGCCTTATGCTTCTTTATATTTGTTGTGTACTTACTCACTTCATCTATCTGTATGCAGGGAGCATGTGTCTTGTTATTCAAATATCTTGCCCAAATAAAGTTTCCCTAGCAGTTCAAGTACTTTTATTACTTAAACCTTATTTTTTAGTGGATACTTGTATTTGAGTAGATGCTCCTTTTATTTATTAAACAGTATATTTATTTATTTTTGTCTACTGGCCTGAATATTTGAGAAATCTTATTAAAGAAAGATATATGCTCTCTGGTAGGAGTTGAACCCATGTTTTCCTAGGAGAAAACATCAGATCTGACGTGCTTTGGCCTCTCGGCTACAGAGTATGTCAATAACCAAGCCAAGCTGAGTAGTGCATTTAAACACGCATTCTTTTCTGGCACTTAAAATTGATATATTTGCTAAGTTTTGTATCCTAATATAAAGAAAGTAATGGATTTTTTTTTTATTAATCTGACAAATTTTTATTACTTAATAAAAATGTCAGATTATTAAAAAAAAAAAAAAATCAATTCCTTTTTCTTTTTTTTTACTTGATGTTATGAACACTAAAAAAAATAAAAAATTTTCAGACACACTGGGATGTATATTATTTTTTTGTTTTATTATTTCAATCATGTTCCTCAACTAGTTTCGGCCAGCATGGCCATCATCAGGAGAAAAAACTTTCTGCTTGTTAGTAGCAATGAACTGCAGGAATGAATGACTGTTTATGAAGAAAATGAACTTTATCTGTAGTTTTCATTTGTTTTTTTTATCGTTAATTTTGATCGGTCCTTGTGTTGGTCAAACAGCCTCTTTCAAGTTATTTTTAAGATAGAGGCTGGGGAGATTCATGAGTCACAAAATTCCCTTCTTGGTCATTTTGACAGTTTTATTGGTTGCTGGGAGGGGGATGTGTGTGTTAAGTGTATGTTATCTTTTAATTCTTTGGGAGTGTGTATGATATATAATTGGTGGCAACTCTAGGCGTTAGTGTGTTTATATATCTGTCTGAATTTTAGTTTAATTTATTGTATATTTATGATCAGTACTGCTGACTGATATTATATTTCCTCAACACTACATCAGTCATACTGCTCACCTGAACCCTCCAGGTCAATGAGTTAAGGCTGCCACTTTCTTTGATTTTTGCTGACAGACTAAATTTAATTTTCCCTTTTTCAGTTGATACATTGTGCTAAAAAACTTTATACTGTATGAAATAAATTACTTAAAATGAACATTTGAAAACAGTAAATTGTAATAAAAGTGTTCTTTGATAAACAGGGTAGACAAGTCATTGGAGATTTTTTAAAAGTTTATTTATAAAATTAAGCAAGAAATACATTGCTTATTAAGTATGTCACTAGCTCAGATAGGGCTCAGACCTAAGCAGCCCGACTAGCCACATTTTATTTAATTCTTTTTTTACTTACTTACTTTCTTTGTTTTTTCTTTCTTTCTTATTATGAATAATATCAATAAAATGTATTTCTGCTAATATTTTGAGGCACAGTTAAAATGATTAATGTTGGATCCTGCTGAAGTCAAGAATGAAAATGACATACTATGAAAGTGTTTTGTTGCTTTGAAATAGATATACTTGAATGTTGACTCACTTGGACTAAGCTCGACATGCCGAACCCCTGGAGTCTCCACTGAGATATATTTTTGTGATGTACAGTGGCTGTTAATAATTAAGTATAACTGAAGACTTCAATGTTAAGATAAAACAACCGCAAATAAATAAATAAATAAATACTTAAAAAGAACAAAGAAGTAAAAGTCAGCCAAAGATAATTAACCATTTCAGTGAAAACCTTGTTAGTAGTGTGGCTCAGCTTAATGTCAGGTAAATCCTGAATCAAAACCCAAATCATCAATGCAGAATAATTCACACTAATTCGACTGGATAGTTCCACCCAATAGTCACTCAATCATTGCAGTCAGTAGCCTGACACCACCATTTATACCTGGCGGAAAACATATGTTCATAAGTCAAGCGTGTTATGCTTGAACCTTGGTGTTGTTAGTTACTCATTTTCTTCTTATATGATATATATACACACACACATACACTCGTGCGCACACACAGAGGTAAAAATCCATGGGGGAAGTAATCCAAGTGAATCCTAATAATTTAAAATATTAAAAGTAATTCATAAATAGAGCTCATTGTATTTATTACAGAGCGTATATATAATTTACAAATAAATGAAATTCAAATATATATATATATATATATATATATATAATTACATAACAGAGAAATCAAAAATTAACCCATGAGTATAGACTATTTCAGCTTATGCCAAATGTGTTGACTTCAATGTTCACTTTTACACACACACACACACACATTATATATATATATATATATATATATATATATATATATATATATATATTGAAGTCAACACTGTTTCATGCTAAACACAATCATCAGGCCTGATGATTGTGTTTAGCATGAAACAGTCTGTTGCCTCTAGGTGTTGACTTCAATTTTCACTTATATATGTATGTCTGTATGATTGTGCTTGTCTCTCCCTTTGTTAGGTCGCGTGGCTCATTACAACTTGCCAATACCTCCATAAATAAAGGACTATTCAATTTTGATCACATGGCAAGGGGCGGAAAGATACTACTTGGTCTCTATGAGAGAGAGATATAAATAAATGCATGTTTAACATCTATCAATACCTCATAAATAATGGACTATTCCATTTTGATTGAATGGAAAGAGTGGGGTAAGTTAATACTTGGTTTCAGTGAGAAAATGAAAGTAAGGAAGGAAGATAGAAGAGTTTGATGTCTGTTTCAGTGAAATGGAAAAAGTTGTCAATTTCAAATCTTTTCATTTGTACTCCCTTACTTCTTAAACTAACGACCAGCATTTATATTTATAATTGTTATTGCAATATTTTGTTAAAGTTGTTAAGCACAAATATTTAATGATGTGATAGGGGAATTTCTACTGATATTTTATTGTCATAGAACTCATCATGCTTTTGACAAATGACTAATTTATAATTAAGATTCATAAGAATATTAAATTTTCATAAGTTTACTTCTAGAATATATTTTTAGGTTGAGTCATAAAGAATTTCCATTTTCGTTCATCAACTTTATTCTTTTGAATGTTCACTTTATTATTTTTTAATCATCGTTTATTTGCAATGACTGTCACTTATTAGGCAGCCATTTAATACCTATTGAATAAAATTCCACATAGTTTTGATGCAAGAAAGTTTTCAAATTCTTTAATTTAGTTCTTATTAGGGAAAATTTTCCACATCAGAGTGTTTTGCTGTCATTGAAAAAGTTAATTAATTCGTGCAAAGGTCAGATGAATATGGATGGTGGGATGGAACAGACCAAATGAGTTCCAAAATTTTTCCCTCAGTTATTCTTGCTGTAAGTGGCCTTGTTTTGTCATGGAGGAGGACAACATTTTTCATTTTATCCATGGTGTATGCTGCCACAGCCATGCAAAAATTAAGGTACATTTGTGTACTCCCAATTTCTTAACTGGTTCCCAAAAAAAGAAATTTGATTATAAACTGAACTAATGTATTGTGACTAGATATATGACTGAACTAATGTATTGTGACTAGATATATGACTGAACTAATGTATTGTGACTAGATATATGACTGAACTAATGTATTGTGACTAGATATATGACTGAACTAATGTATTGTGACTAGATATATGACTGAACTAATGTATTGTGACTAGATATATGACTGAACTAATGTATTGTGACTAGATATATGACTGAACTAATGTATTGTGACTAGATATATGACAACCTAGTATCTTGTGACTAGATATATGACTGAACCTAGTATCTTGTGACTAGATATATGACTGAACCTAGTATCTTGTGACTAGATATATGACTGAACCTAGTATCTTGTGACTAGATATATGACTGAACCTAGTATCTTGTGACTAGATATGACTCAACCTAGTATCTTGTGACCTGATATATGACTCAACCTAATGTTATGTATATAACATAAAGGTTTTGTATAATTTTTGAATTATGAAAAATAGTTAAATCTTTTGAAACATATTTTGATAAATGATAGATTTAAGTCACTCACTGTTGTTTCTTTTAGTTTTTCTCTCTAATTTATTTATTCATCTACTTTTTAATATTATTTTCTTTTTATACTACTCTGCAATTTCATCTACTTCTCCAGTATTACTTTGTCGCTAATTGTGATCATGATAATTTAATATTTAAACCTGCTCCCATTTCCTTGTCTCACAACCTCGAGCCAACACTACTGACTATACAAGGCATATATATATATATATATATATATATATATAATATATCTTTTTCCTTTTTTTCTATCACTTTGTCACGGTTCTTGCAGTAACGTATTCTCTTTTCTCATATAAGGTAATCTGGCTCACCTTTCCACCCACAATTCATTTTATGTTGGTTTTTCTGTTTGATGTCTTCCCTGGGGAAATGTAAATATCTTTAGTGAGGAAGATTTTTGTTGCTAATTTTGGCATCTGTTCTCATGCTGTCACGACTGTTGCATGACTGTTTGAAATGTTCCTATATCAGGCCTGACATTGAATCTGTTGAATTGAAAATCTCCTTTAAAGTTTTTCACTTCATATTGTAAGTAAAGAATTTTCTGTAAATTTATCTTCTGTGATTTACTGGTAAAAATGTCACTTTCTGTGAACAGAATATTTCACAGTGTTAAAACATGATCAAAATGTTTCTATCAAACCAACCTTTCATTTCAATAACTTTTTATTGGAAAGTTTTTGTTTACTCTTAATCTCAAAACTTAAGTTTTTATTAAAATAAATTCTAAAAATACAAAATAGTTTTACATGCAAATGATATGTTTAAATTAATAAAAAATGAAATTTGAAAGATATTAATAGAACTCTGTTTTATGAAATATGTATTGAAGGCAAATAATTATCTTTAACCGCACAATATTCAGCTACATTGTTGCTTCTTTTTTCTTTTCCCTTTTTTCTCTCTCCTCTCTTTTTCTCCTCTCTTTTCTCTTTTCTCTCTCTCTCTCTCTCTTTCTCTCTCCTCTTTTTCTCTCTCTCTTTTTCTCTCTCCTCTCTTTTCTCTCTCCTCTCTTTTCTCTCTCCTCTCTTTTCTCTCTTCTCTTTCTCTCTCTCTTTTTTTCTCTCTCCTCTCTTTTCTCTCTCCTCTTTTTCTCTCTCTCTTTTCTCTCTCTCTTTTCTCTCTCTCTCTTTCTCTCTCTCCTCTCTTTTCTCTCTCTCTCTTTTCTCTCTCTCTCTCTTTTTCTCTCTCTCTCTCCTCTTTTCTCTCTCCTCTCTTTTCTCTCTCCTCTCTTTTCTCTCTCCTCTTTTTCTCTCCTCTCTTTTCTCTCTCCTCTCTTTTCTCTCTCCTCTCTTTTCTCTCTCCTCTCTTTTCTCTCTCCTCTCTTTTCTCTCTCCTCTCTTTTCTCTCTCCTCTCTTTTCTCTCTCCTCTCTTTTCTCTCTCCTCTGTTTCTTTTTCTTGGTGTGTTATCAATACCCTTTGCCAATTGTTCAATAAATATTAATTTAACCCATGTTCTTCTATGACTCTGTTAGTACCATGAGGTGTTTGAACATCCCACAAAATGTTTTTCTTTCAAATTTTCATGATAAGTCAAGAAACTTTCTGAATAACTCTGTCAAGTAACTAAAAGGAGTTTTTGGCTTCAGTCAAAATATTTCTGTAAATTACAAACAGTTTTATTTGTTTGCTGAAAATAAAATGAAACCTATTTTTGTATAATTGTATTTTTCAAACTTACAACTTCATTTTTTAATACTGACATTTTAATTTAGTTTTTCAAAATAAAGGGCTTTTTCCCACATTTTTATTTATCCGCTAAAAATTAGAATGAACACTCAAGACAATATATCACAAAAACAAGAACTAAATGTGATGTCTATAATATTTTAAATTGGGTCTTTGAAAACCCTACAGAGAGTTAAACAAGTTACACTAACTTAAGTTATTTATAACTTTTGTGAATTTTCTGTTACTGGGAGTTTGTTTTAAAAATAATCAAATTTTAACCTACTAGATTTTCTGGTTTCTCATTTTCCAGTCAATTTGGATCTTCACAAATTTAAATGCAATGTCAATCGTTAGCTTCCTTCTTAATTCTTGTTTTTTTTATTTTTCTCTTTCCTTAATAATGTTTTTATTTCGTCTCGTATTCTCTCACACTCGGTATCCTCTTGCATCTTAGTGGCTTTATTGCCTTGCTTTGAGGTGAAATGATTAAAAAAAAAATACAAAACTAAATATCAGTGTTGGCTTTAATTGCATTTTTTTTTTAAAAAAATAAAAAACACTTTTGGTGTTTTTTTTTGTTTTGTTTTTTTTTGCAGTATATGTAGGTAAATCAATAAATTAGATTATGAAAAAAGCATATATTTTATAAAATAATTATTTTCTTTACATCTTTAAAAGAAAAATTGTGAACATTATGCAGTGAAAATATATTCTCGATTATTTTTGAAAGGTTCATCTGAGGCATGTAAAAGTGGGAGTTGATTTTTGCATTCCTACATGCTTATTTAATAAACATACTTTATTTAATTAATCTATTTTTTATAAGTCAAAATATCCATTTTTAAATTTGTGTTTATTATGAATAACTATTTGCCCATAGCTGGGACCCTAACAGGTGCTACCACCCTGGCTCAGGGTGGACCAGGGAACTGTGGGTAATTCAGTTTGCCTGTCGTTGGTGATGACTGAAATGGATTAAAGTGCTTGCTTTCATCCAGTCCTCCAGTCTACCAACTGTGACTTCTTATTCTCTCAGTCTCGTTAGTATGCATGTACACCGTCATGCCAACAATGCACTCTCCTGTCTTCCTCCTGGACTTGCTATTTATGCCCGTGTCGTTTGCCTGAGACTTCCGGTTTTATAAATTCAAGCTGGTTTGAATTCTTAGTCTCTTTTTATTTTTAATTTTTTCCCCTGCACATCCACCCGCGATCTTTCAACAGGACCCGATATGCCAAGCAAATTTGCTTTGCGGGAGGTAAGTCTTCTCGTTCCTCACAATAACATTTTAGAGAAATATAACAATAGATTTATTTCATGACAGCCTAATTTTTTAATAATGCACTCATCCTAGGTTTGTCTGTTGGGCTATAAGCCAGTAAGGCCAGTCCTACTAGATTTTGAATTGTAGTTTTGATGGTAGCCTAAATTAGTTTAGGTTTTTTTCTCCCCCATCCTTTTTTTTTTTTTACACATAATGTAAGGCAATAAATCCACTAAGATGCAAGGGGTTACAGTGTGAGAGTGAATGAGAAAAAGTAAAACATTATTAAAGAGAAAAAAATTAAAAGAACAGGAATAAAGAAGACAGAAAATAATGAATGGCATTGCATTTAAATTTTTGGAGATCAAAGTTGACAAGTTTTTAATCATTTTAGCAGATTTAATCCATATTTTCAATACATACAGAGACTATTTTTTGTTCATTGAAGCCAGCTACTATGTATGGGTGTGAAACAGACTTTAATAAAATCACTAGAAAAAATACTTAGAAACTCACAAAAATCATGGGGATAAATAGAAATAGGTGAAAATGTATGAGAGAACAGACCAAGATAAGAGCTATAGAAGTGATTAAGTAATAAAAATAGAGGTAGGCTAAATACAGCAAGAAGAGAGGATAACAGATGGAGCAAAAGGTTGGTTGGTACCAAATGGATAGCAAACCCAGTAGGAAAAGACCAGATAAAAAATGGTGAGATGAGATAGTTTGCTAATAAAAAACATGTCAAATATTAGCCCAGTCACAGTCATCATGGAATGAGTTGAAAAAAATCTTCTCACAGTCAACTGACTATGACTAATAATGCTTGATATATATAAACACCTGTAATTTTAGGTTAACTGATAAGTTATTTCTGTACTTTTTCTTTCTCACTAGATCACCTGTGACTCCCATGAAACCACTTCGGCCACTCACTCTGGATTCAGTAGACAGCAATGTAGATTGCCAATTACGCAGTGTTCCTGGTTTTCTTACAAGCAGTCCTTTCAATGATCGCAGTCATGAAACAGCCTCTACTGGAGTACAGAACATGTTGCTGAAGAACGACTCTCTAGAAATCACTTCAGCAGGTGGAAGTGGTTTTAATTCCAGTACTAACCCAATGGATTGCCGTATTAGCATTGGCCAATTGCCAAGCTGGGCAAAAGCCAAGGTAAGGAAATTTGAATTTCTTTTAAAACTGTTTTCAGATGCTGCTTATACTAAGAAATAATATTTTATAACAGTAACATAAATAAAATATAATAACAAATATATATTTATTACTTCAAACGTTATTTTTTCATGATACTCGTATTTGAGTAGATGATCCGTTTTATTTTAAACAGTATTTTATTTTGTCTCTTAACCTGTTTAAAATAAAATGGAGAGTATACTCAAGTATTGGTAGCCATTAAAATAATATTTGAAGTAATATATGATGGCTGTAAACTTGGGTTTTTCTGATGATGCTGTTTGAACAGTGAAACTTGTCCAAAACAGAATATGGAAAAGGTGGCACTGAAATCCGAAGGCACATTATAATAGTTAAAAATGTCTTACAAAAACTAAAAGTGTAAACAAACTGGAAAATTTCATCAGGAACAAAAGAGTGCTGAACTGCTATTTAATATCAATCCTCCTATATGGCAGTGAATGTCGAACAATCTCATCATAGATGAGAACACTGGAGGCAACAGAAATGTGGTTCTACAGAAGGATGCTGAGAATACCATGGATGGAGCATGTAAGCAATAAAGAACTTTTAAGAATAACGGAAACAAAAAGGTCACTTATGCATAGTCAGAAAGAGACAGTTGAAATTTTTGGGGAGAAATAAGGAAAGAAGGCTTGGTAAATTTGACACACATGACATATGGAATGCTGGAGTGACTGGTATTGAAACAGCATAGATTTTATAGATGGATTTGTTTTTTTTATGGATTATCAACCGTTTGCAGATTATTTAAAGCTGAAACATTTTGTTTTGTAAGAATAATTCTTTTTTTACAAGTGAGTATTGCATTAATAATTTGTTGGTGGTGGGGGGGAATAATTTCCCCAGTTTTACTATTTAAGCCATATTTAGTGGGAGAGATGGATTTATACCTTTCCCGAGTGTATTTGTGCGTAAGTGAATGTGACAAACTCGACTGGAATGTGAACAGGTGAAACAGCAATTAACCTTCCTAAAAAACTTGTGCCAATGAATGGTAGAACAGGGAGTAAGAAGGACAGTAAAAAGACCAACATTGCTTGGAGTTACAAAAGGCAGGAATTTAAAGAGAGCCATGATCACCCATGTTCAGAAGGGGCAAGACACAAAGATTATGATTTTCCCATACATACATACATACATACATACACACACACACACACACACATATAATAATTGACTCTCCTTTCCAGATTCGACATATGAGGGTCAAGCAGATCAGTTTCCAGGAAACCTTTTTGTAACATCGCACATGAGATTTGATTATAGTGGTGAAGGCCCCCAGGACCATCCACACTTTTTGAAGGGACATATACAGAGACCTGCTGCACTGAATGCCACAAGGTTCCCAAACCTTTTCTCCAGGGTTTTGAATTCAGAGTTGTCCTTCTCCTAGACCAGTTGCCATCCAAGGCTATAGAACCCATCTGTCCTGCTATTTTACCCATAGCTGAGTGGAGAAGAAGAGGATTCATACCTTTCCCAAGGGTATTAGCACGTAAGTGAATGTAATGGATTCACTGGAATTGAACTTGGCTCTGTGATTCCTCAATCCAAGCCGCTATCCATTACTCCACCATGCCTTCTATATATATATATATATATATATATATATATATATATATATGATTACAAAAAGGTTTGTCTATGAAACTCTGGAGTTGAGGTGATGACCATAACAGCAGTCAGCTAAGTCTCACACACATACATATATAAGATTATAATAAAAACATTTTGAAATTGCTACACAAAAGCTTTCATGTTTCATACTATGATTGTTACTTACCATTACTTGAAGAAATACAATCCTAGTATTGAAACATGAAAGCTTTGGTGTAGCAATTTCAAAATGTTTTTATTATAATCCCTTATAATAATATATTGCTTTACTTTCTATTGAGTACATTTTTAAAAGTAAATGCTACGAACAGTGTGTGTGTGTGTATATATATATATATATATATATATATCCAAATGACCAGGAAAAAAAGAATATATTTTTGCTCTGTCTGTTTTATCTCTCACTTGGATATAGATACGGGAGAAAAAAAACAAATAGAGCAAAAATCCATTCTTTTTTATGGTCGTTTGGAGATGTGTGTATATATATATATATATATATATATACACAAACACACACATTGTTGTGGAGTGGTTACTTGCAAATTAATCTCCACAATAATTACTATCATGTGTTCAGTAGTTGACTTTTTTCTGAGGATAAAACAAATTGCTATTCATTGCTTTCAATATCTTTCTTTTGCTCTCTTTTAGACTGATGGTCTTTCGACGACATCAAGCACTGAAGAGCCCCAAAGTCCCACTCAACCACGTGGGCGATGGGCTCAAAGAATTGATAATCAGCCTGTGAGGTCTTTGTTAGATGGTAACCAAAATATCAACATGTCAGAAATGAAGGGTAAAAAATACAGAAATTTTTGTCTTTTTTTTTTCCTGGTAGTTTCATGCAAGAATTTCTTAGAATAACAATAATAAAAAGCACTTACTGGCGTAAAGGTCCCAGCTAGCGTCCAGCTGGCAGACAAAAATAAAGCAGGTTGTAACAATACAAACCCTGAAGATTTATTGCAACAATAGTTACAATTGTGGCACAAGGCCAAAAAGGGGAGGGGGAAAGGCTGGTCAACACTAACTATCTTATACCTAGCTAATCTGACTCACGACCCATTCATACATTACAATTTACTCATTCACCACAAGAACTCATCCATCACCGCTCAATCCTCCAACCACCATAATACCACATCCACTCCAAGGAACCTACCAAAACACGCCCCAATCCATAAAAAATTTGATGATACATAAATGATATACATAAAATTCTAATAATGATAGAATGCAAGGGAGGGAGATGAACCCAATAATAAATAAAAATAAACACAAAATACAAACTAAACATAACACATGTTAGTAGGGACCGTCCAACCCTCAAAAACAGAGAGGCCGCTGTATTCTGCCCAGGGGACAGAATCAAGAGACGCCTCGCTAAGGGAGTGGGAAAGAGGAGAAAATATTATGCGGAATGGGAAAATGTAAAGCTGACCCAGTCAAGATAAAAAGGGGGGGCAAAACAAACTGGGGAGGTTGGGAATCTCGACTTGGACCATAACCAAAGAGCAGCCGGGATACAGGCCAGGAACAACACTTACTCACATTAACTAGGTACACTGAAGCTTGTCTAATCCTAACCAAGGGGAGGGTTCCACAGGAAGCCACCCCGATGTGCTATAGGTTGACCTAGAAAAGAAAATAAAGGCTAGCCCCGTCACACGAACCAAGCTCGCCTCTTTTACCCACCTTTCGCTGAAGACTGTCGAATGCAATCGTTTTCTATCAGATCTAATCTTCATCTTGAGCTGATGCTCAAAGAATTGGATTAGATGCTGATAAGAAAGACGGTTGCCCTGCAAGACTTCCTCCATTCGCGTCGTCCAAATCACCATTCGAGCCGTGGGCCATCAGCATCAGAAACACCATTCGTTTCTCCCCGAATACGGGGGCGACACATTGTCACACGCGTATGCGCCGATCAATGGACACAAGCTGTTCGGGAGCGAGACGAGCCGTCAGCTCGCCGACATGGTCCCATAAAGGGCGGACCCGGGGCAATGGTAGAAGGCGTCGCGGCCGCTTTCTTCTAAGCCAAGACCACACCGTTCAGTCTGGCAAATCCGCCAAACCCCATATGAAAGCCTTGTCATTGAGAGGCAGCCGATTCCAGCCAATCGCCAGGTAAGCGAAAACTCAGGGTTACTGAGGTAATCCGCCGCTGGCGCCTAAGACCAATAGGAGCGATACTCCTCCTCCGACAAGTCAAGCGTATCACGTAGCTTATCCTTCGCGCGACCCTCCACTAAACCACGATAGAAGACCTTCCTAGGCCGAGAAAGGTCACTGGACCGGGAATGGCCTTCAAGGCCAACCGACACTCGCGGAGGAACCGACTCATCCCGGGTTTACAACGGCGCTCAACCCGCGAGATGGGGGGGACTGATGGTAAGGCTAGGGAAGGCGTCCCCTAACAATCCCCTCCAGAATCGGATCTCCTCTAGTCAATGCGCGGCGTAGGAAAGCCAACCTAGAGGCACGGATGTGACTCAACAGGTGCGGCATTCCCAGCCCCCATGACACGGACGTTTAGTGCAGACTCGTCTGTCGACCCTGTTCACGCCCCCTCCATAAAATGGAGGATAGCGATCGCCGAGCACCTTCCTGTGGTCTTTACAGAGAGGAAGTACGGACAATCGATAAAGAATCAGGGGAAAATGTATGTAACACACACCTCCGCCCTGCCCTTCACGGACAACCTCCGCCGATTCCAAATCTTACCGCAAAATCGACCTTTGCTCGTACTTCAGACCAATTCTTCTCCAGCTGGAGGTCGGGCCCAAACCACACTCCAAGAATGTGGACAGGACCGTCCGTCCAACCGCGCGCCCGAAGATCGACCCCCTTCCAGGCACCTAACCGCAAGCCGGACGACTTGTCGCGGTTTATCTTGGCCCCTGTCACCTTCTCATACCGATCAAGCGCCTTCTGTACCGCCTCAATGTCGCTGCGGGATGACACGAAAAGCAGATACGTCATCGGCGTACGCGAAACCCTGGCTCGAGACCCTCCAGGGACGGCGATTCCACGTAGGGCCGGACTGCCGGTCTCGTCCTTCAGCCGGGCGGCGGAGAGGCTCCAACGCCAAAGCATAAAGGAGAGGCGACAGCGGACAACCCTGACGAACCGACCTAGACAGCACGAACGCGTCCGACAACCTTCCGCTCACCTGTACCACAGCACTGGGGGAGCGATACAGGAGGCTAATCCAGCGGCAGAAGTTGGGTGCGAATCCAGCGCCTGCAGGACAGTAGCAAGGTAGCGATGGTCAACCCTATCAAATGCCTTGGACTGATCCAAATTGATCAGCGCGCTTCTTCGTCGCCTTTTACGCCCTCTATGATCGTGCGGATCAGATGCAGGTTGCTCTGAATTGTTCAGCCCCTCACAGAACAAGTCTGCTCAGGTCCCAACAGAGACTCGGCAACTGACTGCAAACGCTCCTGCAGGATCTTGGCCATAATCTTTAACTCTGTGTTTAGCAGAGTTATGGGCCTGTAATCATCTAGCTTCCCCCACCACCTTTGCCCTTTTTCAACAGAGTGATCACACCCTGGTGATCCGATTGGGGATGGACCCGACCGAAACCAGTTGTTGAACACTGCTGTCAAAATCGAACAAAGATGTGCGACAGCCACAAGTACAATTCATAGGGCAAACCATCCAGACCGGGCGACTTGCCTCTGCCGACCTTCTTCAATACCTCGTAGACTTCACTCTCCGCGGATCTCTCCCCTCGCAGCTAGCCGCTTCAGTCGGCGAAAGCCGAGGAAAGTCAGCCAAATAGCTACGAAACTCCTCCTCACGGAGACCAGGCTCCTTGGTAAACCGGCTCTCGAAATGGCGCCGAAACGCCTCGACATGTCGTCAGTGGCCCGAAGAGTATGCCCCTCCGGGGACTCGACTTCACGAATGTAACGATCGCCACCTCGGAACTTCTTCCCTGCGCAGATCTGCGCCCAAGTTCACAGCTTCGAAGACATCTTGCTTAACTTATGTCTAATTACCTGGCCCATGTACCGCTCGCTATTCAAACGATCCAGGGCACGCCCTAGCTAAGGCTATCTCTAGGGGATCCCCCAGCCACCGCCTGGTGTAACTAGCTTTAAGTGTCTTCACCTTTTCAGCTCTATCTAGAGCAAGCCGTTTGCTGAAATCAGTGGTGAAAGACCTAATCCTACTTTTAAGGTTTTCCCACCACCTATTCCCGATAACCGCCCCCCACTAGCTCCCGCTGCACTAATCTAGTTAGCTGCTCCCGGAAGTCCTGCCTGTCCAGTAAAGACAGATTGAACTTCCAGTAGCCAGCCATTCTAGGCCTATGGTCTAACGCCACCCGGGCACAAACGAGTTTGTGGTCCGTGTAGCCTACCCATTGGAACGTAGGGCAATCTAATAGATCTATGTCGGCTCTTCTAACTAACATCCTGTCAAGGTAGCTAACCACCTTGTCAGAAGGCCAATTAAGAGCCCACGTCCACATTTTCCCCCGGGATGATCGACCGGTATCTATCGACGAGACCATAATCGCCGATCAGATCAACCAGGCTACGATCGCCCCTTCTCCCACTAGCTCCCCACCCCCTGTCTAACTTGGAGTCCAGGATGGCATTCCAGTCCCCCATTAAAACAAGGCGCGTTGAATCAACCAGGAACGGCCCCAACTGCCGAAAAAACGAGACCCGCTCCTCCTGGTCATTGGGCGATAAACCGCAACGACTGAAACGAACCACTTTTCACGGCAATATCGGGTCACGATCAACCGCCCCTCGGCATCGGTATGCACAAGGTCCACCTTCGCATCAAGAGTCCGTCTGACAAGCAAAGAAACCCCTCTGGCAAACCGTCCCCATATGCTGAATAGACGACAAAGTCGTTCTCCAGCACACACGCATCGGCACTGCAAACAAAGTGTGTCTCTTCGATCGCGGCAACATCCACATCCAGGGACAGAAGGTCCCGGAGCAGGCGGGCAGCCTTACCCCGATCCCTTAAGCCCTTCACATTTAACGTCGCTAACTTGGTTTCCATTTTCTAGGCCTGCAAAGAGAAAAAAGAGTCAGAGCAAAAACCTACTCACATACGGGCCGGAAATCTGCGGGTGTAAGGACCCCGACGGATTGTCCCAGGCTCCCTATGCCTAACTCCGACGTCATCCGTCCCTCTGAGACAATTCCGCCGACGTCCGTGGGGTAAATTAGTTTGATTGCTCTATATAAGGAGGGGTGGAGTAACACGGGGACCCTCCCAGAACAAAATTGCCTTAGACTTTTTAAGTTTCTTTTTTCTAGTTCAACCATTCTGATGTCCGGGAACGCTGCTTTACCTCATATAGATGGTTCCATACTTCCAGCTGGCTCCCGGTATCTCTTACACAGGTTATAACTCCTGGAGCTCGAGGGAAATTTCGGGATCCTCAATGTTTTTTTTCCCTCTACAGACTCCATTTTATAAAGTATGCCTAGAAGGGCTTTTCTCTGTTTGAGAGACCCTTTTTTGTACTCCTCTCTATCTATTTTACAAATCTCTTCAAGATTTGCAAAAATCTTTTTCTTCTTTTTCTTCTTTAGCCTTGATGGATGAGGAGGGGAAGAAGTGGATGAGAGAGGAGGGGTGGAAACTGTGTTAAGGGGAGAAGTGGAGGGAGGAGGGGAAGTAAAACGGGACGGGGAAGAAGAATGCCGCCTGATTCTTGTTGTTTCTTTGGCCTCCCCAGCATCATCAAACGAAGCAGGGATGGAGACTGCCCTGGATCTCTCCATGACCTTCTCCACCCTACCCTGGTCGTGCTGCCTTTGTGGAGGTTCCTCGTCTTCTTCCTCCCTAGACCTCTTGAGGGATGTAGCCCGAGGTGGCGGCGTTTGTTCCACCTCCATCTGTTGCTCTTGTTCCTGTTGTTTGGGTTGCTGCAGTTCCCGCTGTTGGGATTGGTGTTGCTGCTGTTCCAGCTGTTGGGGTTGGTGTTGCTGCTGTTTCTGTTTGCTTTTTTTATTATGCTGCTGTTGTTGTTGCTTCTTGTCAGACTGTTTCCCTTGAGCCTTCTTTGGAGACTGAACCTCCTTTTGTGGCAGCTTCTCTTCTTGGGGCTTCTCTTCTTGGGGCTTCTTAGGATGGGGTGCCTCCTGGGGATCTGACTACTAGGGGATTTTCGACCCTCACCACCTCCTTCCAGGTTCCATCCACTGGTTTGGCCTCCACAGGTTTAGAGCTTGACCCCGTTGCTGTTGGTTTCACCACCACTGTCGCTGCTGTTGTTGCTGAGGCGGATGGTTGACTTGGTTTCTTCCCAGGGCACTCTTTGGCCATGTGCCCCAAAACGCCGCGATGACCAGCAGAATGGTCGCCTGCCCTCAACTATTACCAACATCCTTTTATTTCGCACACCAGGACATTGGGTATATCACGAAAATTTTCCTGGTTTACCGTGATTTGCAACTCCATGTCACCTGTAGCAATTCCACATTTACTTGCGAGGGCCTTCACTTCGTGAACATCTCCATATTTGGAAAAGAAGGCCCCATCCTGTCTTCCGGGATGTCTACCGCACTCCATGGATGGTTACTTTTAGTTCTCCGAGTACCCATGTACTCGGTTTGCAGGCGCAGGTTTTTGGATATCAGGATACTGCCTGCTAGTTCCTTCGCTTGCTGTTCTGTTGCCAGTAAGATATCCCAAAGGGCATTTGATCTTCTTGCTAGAACTTTGGGGCTTATACTTAAGGCTTTCAATGCCTCTTCCATGTTTTCCTGTTGACTCCAATCAATTTCCGCGTTTTGACGTCGGCTGTCAACAGGGAAATAGTGCGGTGCTCATGGCATCAAACACTTCCTTAATGGTTAAAAACTCATTACCATTGAACGAGTTTTCAAAGTTTTTTCTTTGCTCTCTGTAGAACTCCGGATCTTTTGAAAGCGGCCTATTTTTCGACCAGGCCGTTTTATCGGGAGACACCGTGTCCGTGAGCGGTGTATTGTTTTCTTTGTTTTCGGCCATGATGGGTTTTTTTTCGGCCCACCACGCCGAACAAAACAGATTTGTTTCCTTTTTAAGTAATTTTTGTAATGTACATGAACAGAATAAAACGAAAAGAAAAAAACGGGGATAAACAAAAAACAGTTCAAATAATAAATACGGAATGAAAACAAAAAACGGTAAGGAGGGGGGAAAAAAAGGTAAGAAGAGAATTCAACAAAAACAAAAAAAAAGAACAAAATGTACACTTATATACCAAAAATCAAATGAAAGTCAAACTGAAAAATAAAAGTAAGGGTTTATAAAAAAAAATAAAACCAAAAACTTAACAAATCGTAGCAGTTTCCAAAACTTTTGCTCGCTTCGCTTGACTAACGTACACCAAAAAAAAAAAACACGGGGTTAAACTTAATGCAAACCCTGCAAAGTAACAGATGAATCAAGCTGGTATTTATATAGAAATACCTCCACTCAGGTACCAGCAGCCAATCACAGCCCAAGCAATGGACTATCCCACTTTAGCACAATGAGATGCTCTATGGCAACATAAATAGCTCTCTTTCTAAAGGTTGATTATTGTTCACTTAGCTTGCCGTTAAGATGTTGTGATAACAAAGATGAAGTCAATAGTCTGCATGTAAATAATGAGAACTGTTTATCTCTACCATGTATTATTTTTAGTACTAGTAGTACCATGAAAATTTCATGGTTTTCCATTTTTAAGTTTTTGATGTATCATAATATTCAATGAATAAATACGTTCCTTACTTGTTCTATGCCTATAAAATACTTGTGGAAATTCCCCTTATTGCATTGTGAAATATTTGAGCTTAACAACTTCAACCAAATATTGCAACAACAAAAATAAGTATGAATGCGAAATTAAAGAAGTAAGAGGGTACAACTAAAAAATTTAAAATTGACAAATTTTTCCATTTCACTTAAGCAGACATTTATTGCCTCCTATATCTTAAATCTCTCTCGTCACTGAAATCAAACTGCATCTCTGATGTCTTTCATCACTGTCAAAACTGGATAGTTCCTTATTTCTGAGGTGTTGACAGGGTGTCATGTCTGTGTTAATCTCTATCTATAAAAGGCAGGATGTGTGTGTGTGTGTGTAACAAATGCATGGCTGCAATTTTCGACGGATTTGCACCAAAATTTACATGCACATGCTCCAAGTTAGCGGGAAGGCCAAGACTGACTTTGCATTTCCCAACTCCCATCGATAGTGGAAATAATACATTTTTTCATGCTTCTACGGCAGTTTTCATGTAGCTTGCAGCCATTTTGTACTGGCCATAGTGAGAGCCAATAGCTGGCTGCCACGAATAGGCAGGAAGATTGTATTGGCCAGCGTGACAGCCTACAGCTGACTGACATGAATGTTAACTAGCATGCTAACATGCAAAAAAAAAAAATTGATAGCTGCATTCGTCACAAGTGGGGAAAAATTTAAATCTGCATGGCACTTTACTCCACTTGGCTCATTCGCTTGCTTAAACTCAACGTTGATTCTGATTCCTCAGAACTGGGTTGGGCGCGAAAAAGTATTTGTTGTTAACATTCTTTTTTCATTCGGTTTTTCCAGTTACGAGTCCTTTTTTAAAGCTGATCGTTTTATGTTCATTTTGTTTAGTTCTTTTATCATAACAGATTTAATGTTTAGTATAGAGGTTAGAAAAAATTCGCAGTGTGAGATAGGCAAGAAGTACGACATGTAGCAACATCAGCACAGCAAAGGGCACTCCTTTAAAGGCAAGGAAGGGCAAAAATATTTTAAGTCAAGTGATAGCAATTGCTGTATGAGTCGTATGATTTTTGAATCAAGCATGGGCAATGCCGGGTCATGCTGCTAGTTAAGTAATAAAAGAACAAGTTGAATTATGATATGATGCTTTCTGCATATAAAAAAAATATTGTCATCTATAAACAGATATAGCTCTGGTTATGACAATAAACTACAACCAGAAGGATGACCTCTGATCAGGAGACTGTAGGTTTTGAGGAGTGTAGAATCACCTCTTAATCGCTGTTGCTCCCAGGTGCACCTTGGTCCGGGTGGTAACACCTGTTAGGGTCCCAGCTATGAGCATATATTTAACCCTCAAACAAAAATAAAAGACTATGAAAGCATAAAAATACATTTTTATAGTAAAAATACCTGCAATACATTATAGTAAAATTAATAACACTACAACTTTGAAGCAAAATGTCAAGTAATACATTTTATAGCAAAATGACTGACAATACATTTTATCTGTAGTTGAAGGTATACAATTGCATTAAAAATATATTTAGTTGAAGGTATAAGATTGTGTTCAATATATTTAGATTTTGGCATTAAATAATCTATAGAGGTGTTGATATGCTGCTAAACAAAATCATTCCAACATAAACAGATAGAGTAATTCTTTCTCATACAAAATTTGTACACAAAAAATATATTTTGTTTTAGGTTACCGTCAAGTGGCTTATAACACAGATATTGTACTTGAAGAAGACAGCAGTCAGTCACAGGTGGACTCTCAAGTTGATTCACAGGTAAGAAATGGTGGAATTTCATTCCAATACCATTAATTCCAAAATGGAGATTTCTGAAAATTAAAGAGAAAAAGTCGGAAGTGAGGCAGACATTTTTGTAAATGTTCGAGTCTAAATGTCTGTGATTTTTGTTTTAAAGAATTTTTCCTACATTATATTCCTTCAATTTCAGATCATTTCTTCACTCTGTGGTCAAGTGAGTTAAATTAAAACTGTTTTAATAATATTAATAATTAATAACAAACTTTTTGAATTTAATAATTTGTTCCTCTTATGCTGAGTGATAGCTCGGTATGAAGGGAAGTTTTAATTTTTATGTCAATACTGGCACTTTTTTTTTTTTTTAAATTTTAAGGACTTTAACTGTAGTAATTTGTATGAAAATGTCATCAGATTGAAAGCCCTTTATACTGTTTCAAGAACTATCATGGTTTACCTGTTGTTTGTTAATTGGATGAAAGTTGTTATTTCTTAAGATTGATATTCTCAAAAAATGAAGGACAAAAAGATCAGGTGAACTTTTAGTTATTGCAAATTAAGTTCCCTGATGATCATTTATCAACTAAACTGGTTCCCCCACCACTGCACTAATCAGGCAGAAACACCATTTCAACAATCTAAATATGCCCATCATCTCATAGAGTTCAATGAACAAAGGCACTGAACAAAGAAATAACCATTTGTTATGGCTGGCACAACACAAAATAAGATGAAACAGATTCTTAGAAATTAAAGTTGAAATAAAAGATTACATGTAATAACAAAAAGTGGGTTTTATTTAACATATAATAAAATATTTTTTATAAACAGTAGGGCTGAGGTTTAAACAATATAGATAAGAAAAGCTAACAAGTTAATAAGCGTGTGAGAGCCCAGAAAGTAGTTCGCTTAAACGTGTAGCTATATGAGGGAGTGGGAGAGGTAATCCAAATACAGTTAAGATTAAGGCGACAGATGGGAAATCATCGCTACTCAAAGAATCGTATTATTTTCTTTTTAGAAAAATAGTTAGATATTCACATGTATATATAAAAAAGGAGTTTGGTCAATAATATCAATGAATAAAAGATGAAGTATTTACTAATAATCTTTTCTTTTTGATGAGTGTCAGAACTTAGATTCTTTTGGTCAAAGCTTTGTTCATGAATCAAAAGGACAGAAGTCTACCTCAGTAGTTGTGGCTGTGGATTCAGGAGGCAACTGGCTAGTTGGTATGAACTCCTGTTTATATATGTTTTTTTTACCCTCTAGAACCCAGTAGAAGTTGCTAGAGACTTCTAGAAAGTTCCATTCTATTATTATGAAATCTAAGGGGTTTGGTGAATGGGAGCTTTTTGTAAGGTGAAAAGGGCATCTAGTAGCTACAGATTTAAGTCATCATTTTAAGCTTGGTTTTGTATTTTATAGTGTAAGTGTAAAGAGGTAGGGCAAAATGGGGCCTTGTAACATTGGCTGTTCCTACCTCAAGATTAGGCTTTCAAGTTCCAAACACATAATTAATTCATTCTAATTAAATAATTTATAAGGAAATTTTGGAGAGCCATGATTAGCCACATCCTGAAGAGAGACAGCACATAAAATAAAAATAAATCATATTAAAAAAAAATTCACTTAATTAGCCAGTTAAGACATAATACCTTCTTTTATTTACAGACATATCATCAGGATAGTGAAGCTGGTTTGGTTGACCATTACTACTGAGTTCAATCCTTGCTGGGTTCCCCATACAAAATTTGATATTAATGTAGCAAGGATTGATATATTTGGACAATCAACCAACCAAGCTTTTATTTATACTGATTTTCTTTCTTTGCTACACATTTGAAAAGATAGCAGTCAATTATTGTAGAAAATGGCTTTTACTTAGTGAGCAATTTACCAATAATGCCTCCTCCACCCAATAAAAAAAAAAAAAAATTTTAATGTGTTGGGTTAATCAAAAGTTTTGCTTACTTAAATAAAACATATATAAGAAGAAATAGTCTTAAGATGTGCTATATTTATAGGATAAAGTGCTCAATATCATAGATAGAGCGTGTATAAATATAACAGTGAACAGAAGTCAACACTTAGAGGCGACAGTCTGTTTCATGCTAGATGCAATTGTCAGGCCTGATGATTGTTCACTTTCATATATATATATATATATATATATATAACATAATAGAGAAATCCAAATTTCTCTATCATGTAGCTTATATGCTCTGTTATAATAAATACATTGAGCTCTTTTTGTGGATCAGTTTTAATATTTTATATTATTAAGATACACTTGGATTATATTCCAACAGATTTATTACCTGAACTATATATATATATATATATATATATATATATATATATACAATTTTAGGTAAATCTGACACAGTGATAAAAATTTTTTGTGTGACTTGTTTCATCTTTTAGGACTTCATTAGACTAAAGTGATGTTTACAGTGATGTGATTACACATATGCATGAAGGAGAGGGGAAGCTGAAACTTTAAATTCTTTTTTTTAAAAACCTGTGTTTCATTATAGAGTCTAGCCAATTTCACTTAGTTTCATTTTGTTAGTTTTTATCACTTTTGTTATTAAATATCCCCCCACCTTGTGATAATAGAAGATCTATCAAGAAAGGTGAAATGTTGTAGCTAATATTAGAGCAGTACATTTTTCATTTTCTTTCACCATGAAGGCAATTTTACATTTCCATATCATTTTCCTTGGCAAAGAACTACTTTTGGTTTCATTTTATGGTTTTCAAGAGATCTGAATTTTTTTTTTTCATCAATAGAATTCTCTGTAAAAAAAAGACAATTCAAAGGTGAAATAGCTACTAAACATATTTAATGAACCAATACTTTCCAGTCAAACTGTAACAATTTCTACCTAGTTACCAAAGAAATATGTAGTCAGTTTAGCTTTATCCTGATAGACATTTAAGCTTTTTTCTTTCATTAATTCTTATTGTTTTTTTTTTTTTTTTTTTTTTTTTTACATTATTCGGATTATTGTCCTCATCTTTGTCGCCATATTTATTACGTTTTGGCTGTTGTACACTCTGGCCATCTTCAGGTGGTTGGAATGTCGAACTGAACCCTTTATTTCGCTCATGCGGTAGACTGTCCTCAAGGACACATGGCAGTGGATAAAGGTGTTGGTTAGATCCAGTGACAGAACCCAAAGAGTGTGAGTTCAATACCCGGTTAAGACAGTGAAGAACTTTCAGAGGGAAAATTAAGAGGAGATAACTGATAACTGACATCCATTAAACATGGCACGTGGAACTAGAACAGTCTACCCCAGTGAGCAAAATAAAGGGTTCAGTTCGACATTCCAACCGAAACATTGTAATAAATATGGCAACAATGATGAGGACAATAGTCTGAACAATGTAAATAGTGTACATAATACCTCATCTCAGAAATATAGACAGATATTTTTCTTTTTTATTACTGTCTCTGTTTTTATCAATCAATTGGTTCTGTGGAAGGAGCTCATGGTAGAAAACTCCATCCCAGTCTTACTATACACCCATGATCACCTACACCCTTGTGCAAATTAACTGAAACAAAACAAATAATTCCGTTATTTACTTTTTTTTATATTTTTCCAATGAAACATGACCCAGTGCATGTTAGGACTTCGTATGTCCATTCCTTGAAGTCATTCCCTGCAGATACTTGATTGGCTATAAATCAGGAGAGTTACCAGGCCAGTCTATAGTACTTTGATTTGCTCACTAGTAAGGCTTGCTAGTGAGTTTGGGCAGCGTTACAATTTTTGTACGCTTCTTTGGGGTAACGTCCATCACAGACAATGGCTGTAGGACAGCTAATCGACTGTCAAGACAATAGTGTCTGGGCGTGATAAAAATATGCTGTAATCACTGATGATGCAATATTTTTCCAGGACAAACAAATTTCATTATACACCCCGAAACTAGATTCATATTACTGCACACCACTGCAAATGACCTAATCTGAGGAAAAAAAAATAGAAATCGATTACACCCTGTCACTCTAGTGGGTCTAAAACTGACGATATGGTGAAAGGAAACTGAAGTGGTTGTTTCAATTAATTTGCAGAAGGATGTATATGCAACATCACCTTTGGATGATGACCAGCCTTTGGTCCGATTAGTGTTGATTGCATTTCACCTCTGTGTGGTTGTAAAGTATCTACATTTCATAACTCCTTACTATTTGTTTTGGTTAAGTTATTTGGAAGTCGCATGAAAATGATTAGCATAACCAAAAACTGTTGCAGATACATATTATATATAAAATTTATTTTATATATATAAATTTATATATAAAGTTTAAATATAAAGCATCTGTTGCAGATACTTTATAATTACACTGATTAACTTTGGGATGATGTTCCCCACTTGAAAGATTGGTGAAAGATCGTCTGACTTTCTGCTTCTCCCTCTTCTATGTGCTATGTCCCTTCAAGGCATAAGTGATCATGGGTCTCCACAATTTCCTGTTCTCTGTAACTCTTAATAAATTTTGTCTTTTTCTTATTTCTCCTAAACCTTGTTCTGCCATCCATTTAGACAAACTTGCTAAGTAGGTTATGCACTGTTTTCCTCTGTCCCTCTTGCTTCAATCTTTGTGAGTATCAGATTTTCCAAGCCCTCTTTCCTCATTATGTCTTCTAGAAATTTCAACTGTTTCTTTCTGATGTAAAATATAAGTGTTCTTTTTGTTTCTATTTTCTCTAAAACTTCATCATTGCTCACATGTTCAGTTCATGGTATTCTCAGTATCCACACTGCTGTTGTTTCAAATCTCTTCTTCATATGGGAAAATATTGTCCAGCATTCACTATTTGTAAATATGAGTCTTAAACTCATGGGAGATAACTCTGGTTTTAAATGTTCCTGCTTTAAAATATTAACTTTAGAGTAGATTAAATAAGTTATCTTTAATCCTGAGATGGAGTAGTTTGATTATTTCAAACATTATTCAGACTAATATCATAATCTCTGTTGGTTTTATCACAATCTTTCAGCTGTTATGTTCATCAGACTTCCTTATGTATATATTATATCTGATATTAATGACCTTTCTTTGTTTTTTTTTTTCTATCCCATTTTTTTCTTTTTGATATCTTCTCTCACAGATTAACCAGATTAAAGAAAACTGGGTCAAAATCTTGTATTTGAATGAGAAGCTTTTTGGATGGAACATTGTTATAAAAACAACAA